CCCTGCGAGCGCCCTGGCAGCTCTGCGCTACTCCGCTCACGGCGCAGTGCTGGGGTGGACTGGCACCCCTCGTGGTTTTGTTCTGTTTTTAATATTAATACTGAAGCACTGAGAACTGCTCTGATCCTGGATTTGCAAGTCGGTTACACCCCCCCGTAGAGGTTTTATCAAAACCACCTTTCTGTTCCTTATGTCATATGCTGAAAGAAATACATTCAAGATACACATCATCCACCTTTCTGCAAAGCTTGTAGCCCCGTCGCGGGAGGAAATTAGCTTGGTTTGACGTGATCCATTCTTGACAGGTCCATGAATAGTCCGTGTTCGTCTATGCAGTAACACAGAGGCAGTTCCAGCGTTGGCAGTTTCAGGCCATTAGTTTGCAAAGATAAAGTACAGTGTGGATAGTGTCCTATTGTTGATAGCGGCTGTAATATGTAACGGATCAGGGGATTCTACATCAACTTAAAATGTTATTATAATAAACATTACCTCTCGTTCACACTCGGCAGTTTTCACCACCACTTTAAATGTTCTTTTTGTCTTGTATTATTAAAAGTGCTCAATTAATCATTCTGTTAAAAAACAGGATTGTAAAGGGCCTGTTCCAGGGCTCAGCTGTCACACAGAAATTACAAAGATTAAAACCACATTTTTTTGCTATCCTTGAGAGCTTGGTTCTCACTCAAGCTCTCATTTTTGCCCTAACCGTTGATGCCTGTTTTGCGTTCCCAGCATGGACACAATAAAGAGGTCAAATAGTTTCCCAGGAATTCACCCTTCTGCCAAACCAAGGTACAAAAGAATACTGAAAACTAATGAGCCACTTAGTACTGAACTAGAGTATAGATGTGCCTCAAGGGCCTTTTTCCACTGCCTCAAGAAACCATGTTACCTTTTTCATGCCAGAAATTTGCATAATTGGTTTTCCTACCTGGAGTAGTTGGAGGCAGTGCTAAAGTGAAAATAATATTCATATCACAGAAATTGAATAGGTAATGCGCTATTGGGCATATTGTGTTGCTATCTGTCACTATAAAGTCTTTGCGATGGAAAAAGTGGGCCAAAGAGTTTCATCATGCATGTTTTGAGGGTAGCTCCAACACTCACCAGAACAAACCTCACAAGCTTCTGCTCATTTGTTTATTTTTAAAAAGCTGATCTAGCACAAAATTTTATTTTTAGCACTGTTTTGGACATAAGAGGTATGGGAGCTGATATGGCAGTAGGTTGTAGTAAATATGGCAAAGACTTAAAAGTCAAGAAATGCAAACTCCTGCATTTGCAACTGATGTAATGTGTACGTGCATTTTTAGCATGTGAGAAGGGTAAATACTGCAGTCTTTATCAGGTGTACTTAGTTTTGAGATCTTACTATGAAACATTTGTCAACTACATATATATTAAAAGCAGAGGAAAGTAGTAATATCTCCAGGAGGCAAATGTCAAATCCGCATAGTTTTTAGCCTTCTTATTTCATGCAGTATCAAATACAAACACTGTGCAGATTATAAAAAACAGATGCCATTGCAGCTATTGCTGGTGCTTCCTTTCTTCCTTTTATTTTATTTTTTTGCCTTTATTCACAACTATGTTAATAGTCTTTTAAATGACTGGGTCGGTGTCACTCCAGGAATGCAGAAACAGATTTTTTCTTGCCTGATAAGCAATCGAATATGTTTATTAGGCTAAACTTTTATAATACAGAGCTAGGCACAAAGAGCCAGGCCTGAGAAATGACGGAAGGAACTGCCTGGGAGCCAAAGGGATCCTTCTGCAAAAATTGTTTTGCTGCCCATGAGAAATTTATAAATAGAACTTCCATCAATTACAGATACTGAAACCAAATGGGCCAGAGAGGTACTGTGTATAAACCTTTTTTTACTTCTCTTCCTTGTCATTTGACCTTTCTGTAAGTGCTTACTTTGTTTTGTGTTTATTTTAGTTTAAAAGCATTTTGAATTTCTTTGGGAAGCCCACAAGCAAAATGTGGGTAAAAGTGTCAAAGCTCTTGCTGATTTAGGTCCCATCAAAAGATCTATTATTATCTCAGAAGTGCGAGATGCATTTTTGAAATGAGGTATATATTATTAAAGTAATGCTAAATATGATATGAGAAGTGTAAATATGATATGAAAACAAAGGTAAAAGTCACATAGTTCTGCAAAGAAAACCCAAGCTATAACAAACAGGAAAGAAAGCCACATCTCATCTCACATAGTCACATGTATTAGAACCCTTTTTTTCCTGAATTTCCCTGAAGTCACTAAGATTGTTTATAAAGGAGGGTACTGGTCAATGAATAGAATTAGATTTAGTCATTAGAAAGTGATTACATCTGCTCTGCAATAAAGCAAACACTTTCAAAATACCTTCACTATTATTACAGGAATGTGTTGATCACAGTTTTAGAAAGATATTCTGACATCTCCAGTAGCTGTAAATATACTTCTATGGATTATACACTTACTTTAATTCCTCTTAGCTTCATTATTTAAATATTCATATTTGAAAATAAAGGTTTAAATTGTTTGCCCAAAATATAATTATAGTTCACATACAGTGATAAATTAAGAATCCAGAAAAATGAAACCAAAAATTAATTGGGATTTTACTAGCCAAATTCAGTCTTTATTGAAACTAATAATTTCTGTATCTTTCAGAATAATCCCCTCTAGACTTTTCAACAATCACTTTTCAACTAATTCAACAAAATGGAAAACGCTGTTTAATTTTTATGCAAAGTGCTAACATTTTAAGTATAAGGGAACATTTCGAAGACTTGAAATTTTTAGTCAGTCTTGACACTAACGTGATAGAAATATAATTGATTTTTGTCTGAAATTAGATTGTCTACTGCGTAAACGTATTCTTCCTTTGCCCAAAATCAATTAATGGCATCCTGGTATATCTAAAAGAGATTTGCTGCCAAATCACTGCAAATTCTAAAAATGAATTAGCATTTGAAAAATGATATAGTAGATAATCAAGTGTGCTATAGGAAATAAGCAGCTAAAAAACGATTATATAATCAAGACTGTAAAACTTTTCAAGGCTGACAGACCCTATGTTTCAATTGGAATTTCTGAATGTCTAAATAGTGCTATACTAACAGTATAATCAGTTAACGACATAGGGCTACAATTACAAACTCTTATTCATATTGGCCATCCATTTGAACCATAATTTAAACTAGCAGTCATATTAAAGAAAGACTAAGACATCAGTTGTAAATATAAACTGTAAAATATCCTTCAAAATGAAGGGCTCACTCCAGCTTCATGGGCCTGTAATCTGTGGCCACAGAGGTCACATCCCAGCACACCAGGATGTGCCATGGGGGTGACTGATTCAGATTCTCTATCTAGCTAGTCAGCCCAGCTGTGGTACATCTAGGTTAAAGAAGAGTAATTTTTTTCATTTTTTTCTTTTTTTTTGTCATATAGGCATAATTATTTTTCTCATAAAGAAAGAAAGTCTAAGATATGTTTTAAGCCAATTAGCAGAGTTCTAGTGATAGAAATTAAGACTGATGGAGTGCAATTAAGAAAATAAAGATGAATACATTGAAGTGCCAGATAATGACAAATATCGCAATATATTACAGTAAGATACAATGGCCTAAAAGAAAAGCAATCTCTATGATCCTGCTTTAAACCTTACAGACTCTGCCTTCACCTGAGCCTTAGACTGCTGGAGAGCAAGGAGAACCCTTGGGGTTACTGCATTCCTATTTTCCCATGCTATCTTAAGCCAGAACAGTTACTCCCAAGCTTTATTTTATAGCTAAACCTAATGTAAAAACAAACTGTTAAACCTCTGTGCTTTCTGTGTTGTTATCCAAGAAAGCCTTGGTGCTGTGTCCTTATTTCTAAGCCTCAGGCTTATTGCTGTCATCTCCCAGCTCAGCCCATTCACCTCAGAGTGGCTGCCGCCTCCTTGCTCTGCTGCTCTCTGACCCAGCTGGAGCAGCTGGAAGCCTCTCTCCAGCTCTCTCACATTCCTCTGTGGGGCTAAGAACAAGAGACAAACCAGATCTTGCTATTAAAAAAAAATAAATAAAGAAAGAACAAGCCAAAACACCTACTGCGAACAGTTTTTTGCTTTTATTTTTGCTGTACTCCTCATGTAAGTTAAAGCCACTTTAAGATTGCTCTACTTAATACTGAGACACCTGATGTAGTCCTGCGCAGAGTGAAGGTTTGGCAGAGCTCATGTGCGTGGGCTCTGTGTCATACCCCAGGGAAGGAGCCTAATCACTAAGGCACACCTCAAAATCATTTAAGTAAGGAATTTTAGGCATCAGAGGAAGGAACTGCAGATATGTATGAGGACAGTCCTTACATCTCATAGTATCAGTTCTGTTTCACTCATCAGAGTTTCTCACCATCTTTTCCCATGCCACCTAGAAATCTAGGCCCACATGACTGATGGGCAAGGCAGTTATAACCACTCATTCTAAAATAAATTTAGCCCAAGGGATTTTAACAGATTTTTATTTCAAATATCCATGAAAACAAAGTCAGGTTTACCTGTGGTTTCATATGTAATATTATTTTAAGAAGAAGAATTTT